GCAAATTTCAAATGCATTTTAGCACTTTTTATTGGAAGGTGTGTAGAGCTCTAGCTTGGGTACTTGCACCACCTCCTTCCAGGTTCTTGGTTCTTTTTCTCCTGTTTGTGGAATGAGTTTTCTCATTCTTTCTTTATTGGCTGCTGTCTTTTGGATGTATTGGTTGGGTTAATTTTGGTTATGTTGGTGAATCTCGGGTGTGCTATGTTTTGAGGGTTATTTGGCTTGGTTTGCTGACCTATGGGTGTTTGGTTCTTCATGTTGGTGATTGGTGGTTTGTCCATCTACAATTGTGGAATTTCTCTTTGTTGGTGGCGAATTGGAGTTTCTCTTTGGTAATGGCGGTTAAGTTTCCTGTGTTTTATTTTATGTATTTTATGTTTAATGTGGGCTTTATGCTGAATGTGGGCTTTATGCCGAATGTGGGCATAATGCCTCTTTGTGGGCTTTATGTTGGCTTTTGCCGTTTTAGTTTTTTTGCTCGGGAACATGATCTTCATGCCATAATGTAATGGTTTTAGCTAGATTTGTTCCTATTTGTTTCCTGTTGATTTTCTAGCCGATGTTTTTGCTCGTCTTTAATTGTACTGTTCTCTTCCCTTTTGGGGGATTTCAATGAATTGGAACTTTGACAAAAAAAAAAAAAAAACCTCCAATAACCCATTGCATCATAATTATATCCACTCTTCTAAATTCTAAAATTACAATTTGATAGAGATGAAATTGGATATTTTCTTTCTTTGGACTAGACAAGAATCTATTGAGATATCCGAATAATGGGTGGTGTTGGTGGGATCCCAAGTCTCTGTATTTAGAGTTGGTGCATTTATTTTCACTTCACATTTCGCTTCATCTTATTCATTAAGATAAGAATTTTTAGCCATTTTACCCCTTGAACTATTATCCTTTTCAAACTTACCCCCCTTTGATTATTTCATCTACCAATTTAGTCTTTGAACTCATTTAAAATAGCCAATATAGCAGTTGCGGTTAGTTTTTTGAGAATTTCATCCATATTTTCATCTAAACAGGCATGTGAGGGGCACATGCTTTTTTTGTTGAGGACATTATGGTCCTTCCAAGTGGGCGGCCTCCTTTTGTTTGTGCCTGATAAATCACGGCCATGAGCTGGCCGAAGGAGCCCTTTCTCTCGGCCCTGGCACTTGTTCGCAGAAGCTGAAACGCAGTGTTTCGCCAGGGTACTTCGCCTTCCCAAAGATAAAAGAAGAAATGCTAAGGCAGTATCATCTCGGCCTCAAGCGCAGGCCGAGGCCGAGGCCGAACAAAATTGCGGCCAGGGCATTAAAGGCAAATCATCACGTGACAGCAGGGTCCCAGGCTTCATTTAATGAAGTAGTGCCTGTTTAATGCAGCAAACCCATTGGCTACAAAGAGGCATTTAATGCATGAGGGAAGGTGGGAAGTGACTGAAGTCAGGATTTGGTAGTGAGGATCAGAGTGATTAGACGTAGACATTCTCACAAGAATTCTGACAGCCTGAGATATTGGTTCACCAGCTATTCAGGCCATAAATGCGTCTCCACGGCCAGAGGTTCAGAACCCACGATCGAGAGCGGCGGCCGAGATTCACCGGGATTTCTGGAGTCTCACCACCATACTTCACGATCCCAAATGTCGATTGGACTGCCCACTTGCGCTAATCAGACTCCTTTTTTCCTGTAATGCACTTTCAATATCTTTACTTGCTTTCCTAGGAGTAGTGTTAGATTGTAAGGAAAATCCATTCATCAATATATCATACGACCATTGATTTTCAAGGCGCCGGAGCACCATCCTTGTTGTTCGTTCACTCACCCCATATATCACACGACCGTCGCTCCCTGAGCAGCGTGCCGGAGCACCGCCCAAAACCCGCCACCAACACCATCACTCAACGGCCTTGTAGTTCAGGCCGTGAACCTAACAGCCGAGACCAGTTCCTCTCTCGGCTACAATCGTTTGACTAGGAAGACAGATCAAACAGGCGCACCACTTATCCATCCAACACTCATCAACACATCAACGCACGGTAAACCGTGCTGGCACGCCCGCACACAACCGCACCGCACCCAAAAGCAGGAAACCCCGTGTTAACGCACATCCCCTCGGCCCGGAACTCCAGGCCGTGAGATTTGCGCGGCAGACACCTTTATGTTATTTTTGCCAAATCGCGTTAGGGCTGGAATTTTTGGGGCTAAGAGATTAGTTCTGAAAGATTTGCAGGTCAGGGGGAGTTGGGGGTTGCAAGCATACAATTTAGAGACTTTGATGATGATGTTGACGAATTAATGGCTCCATCTCTACCACTGGAAGAGTTGTTGAGGCTAGATGCTAAAATCAGTGGTGATGAAGATTACAAGAGAGATCAAATATTGAATATCCTTGCTGCCCATCATGCCAAGTGCTCAGATTTGGTTGGAGATCCCTTTCGAAATAACCCGTGGGTGTTCCAATTGCTCTCACGGTCTAGCATGGAGAAAGAATATGATGAGGTAGATCGACGAGATGGGTGACAATAAAAGCAGGGACACAAATGAAGGAGATGAAGGAGAAAATCCCCAATCGGAAACAATTAGAGATATTTAGTCATATACTCATTCTTAGCACAAAAAATATAAATAAATCCTACACCATTTAATTTCTATACACAAAACAAAAAAAAACCCAAAAAATAATAGATGGCTCTATTTAATTTAATTTTAATTATTAAATTACTTTGATGTCCTATTGAGTGTTTTGGGTTTGTTTATGAGGTTTTGGGGTTGAGCTTGTTTTAAGAAATCAATGACAATTTTGCAATTTATAAGAAGTTAAAAGTCTTTTTGTTATGTTGTAAATGAGTTTTGGGTGTGTTTCTAAAGTCCATTTCATATATGGTATTTTTATAATTTGAGTCCCTAAATTGGGTATAATAGTGAATCTCCCAAACAATTATTATTGCCTTGGAGATACTGTTTGGTAATTAAAAAGAGTTTTTCTATTTAAAACCCACATTTTTTTTTGTTCATCCTAATACTTAAAACATTAAGCTATTAAATTTTATTATCATGTAAAAAGACAAAAAAGGTCATCCAACAGACTATTTATCCTCTCATCCCTAACTACTTTGGCCAAAAAGAAGGAAAATCTTCCTCCAGCAGACTCCCTACTTGGCTCTCTATTTTGGAGAATCAACTTTTGGCTCTCTACATCTAGCAAGGAGGAGAGAGAAAAAGGGAGAGAGAGATAAAGACATTTGGGAGGTTGGTGGGGTTGGGTTTCTACTTTTTGCTAAAATTTGGAGATTCTCCTGGAGATGCTCTAATACTTAACCCTAGTACATATATACACACCCCCCACCACTCTTCATATTGGCACATCACAACAAATCATGTGATGTGCCAATATAATTAGTAAAAGAGTGAGAATTGGACTGCCTGCATAAAATTTTTCATTCCACAATATTTTGGTTAAACAAGGAGAGACCAATACATTCTATACCCAGAAAGAAGCTTTGCAACGTCTCTTTGAGTTCCTGACTTTGTACAGTAAGTGAGATGCATTGGCTACATACATTAACAGGCGAAAATGTATAGATGCATTGCCTACATATTGAAATTATCCTCAAGATAGCCACTAATAATGGGATAATTGAAATTATAAGAACACTCGTAGTATTTAGGAGTAGCTTGGGAAGATAGTGGGATTTTCTTAGAAATTGTGAAAAATGAAATTAGAAGTTGGGGTGAACTTAGAATATGAGATGAACAAAGAGAAGTGCAGGATTTAAATAGAAAAACTCATTAAAAATAAGAAAACAGATCAAATATATGGATTCAATGGATTTGATGCCTGAGAAGCGATTCTCTAGTGATTGGAGCCAAATGAGTGAGAGAAACCATCAGCAAAATTAGAGAAAAAGGAGGCGAGCTAGCTGCTGAAAATGACTATAATATCCTTAATAATAAAAATAAAAAACCGTGTGCCCCACATGCCTCTTTAGATGACAATATAGATGAAATGTCAAAAAATATAACGGTAGGTGCTACATTGGCTATTTAAAACGAATTCAAGTGCTAAATCGGCGGACAAAATAATCAATAGGTAAGTTCAAAAAGAGTAATAGTTCAGTGGTAGAACACGCTTTAGTCTCTCCCTCTAGTCTCCAAATAACGACTTTTTTTTTTTTTGTGGTCAAACTCCAATATAACGACTAAAAACATGACATTTCAATTACACAAAGTTTATTTGTATTTTTATTTTTGGGTTTATTTTTCTAAACTAGGGTTAGCAGTGCCGTTATCTGTGTCTATGTCCCCTCCTCTCTTTCTAGTCTCTCCCAAATTCCACCACCAGAAATTATTCCCTTTCCTCGTCAACGTCGGGCTAGTGTGGTTCTTGACCAATATACCTCACTCACCGTCTGGACCTACCCCAAGGCAAACCTCAATGTCGTTCCACCATCCCAATCCAAGGCTCCAATTCAATAGTTTCAAAACAATAACATATTAAACTTGTTAGGAATTCTCAATCCAAGGCTTCCTCTTTGTTTTCAATTTTGTCTAGGAATGGCCTTCCTGGAAAGAGACAATATATTGATACTCCTTTTTTTTGGGGCGAAAAATATTGATACTCTTTCCAATTAATTACAACACTTTCTATCAATAAGTCAATTAATGATTATACTATAACTAGGGGTGGGCATCAATCCGGCCGATCCGGTTACACCGGCCGAACCGATTATATTGGTTTGGTTTGGTTTGGGTTTGATCAAAGAAAAAGTCAACAGTTTCAAAAACCGATCCGAACCGGTTTGGTTTGGTTCGGCTGCGGTTTGAGCATTTTGTAAACTATCCTAAACCGAACCGGACTGATTAAAAATAAATTTATTATTTGTTAAATATATTTTACATGTGGCAAGGCTTGAGTGGTTCTTTGTAATTGTTATCATGCACCATACCGCACATGATTGGATTCCAAAAGCCTGAAAAATTCGTCCAAAACTAAAACTCACGGATCTAGTCTTTCTCAACCTCTCTCACATTTCTCTCAGCCTCTCCTTCATTTCCTAACCCTAGCCGCACACAACACTCACTCACTACTCTCATCTCATCACATCATTCATCTCCATCTTCATCACCTTTGGCAGACAAGGTCATCACCTTTGGCCTCTTCGTCTCTCCAGTGTAACCTCTCTCTCTCTCTCTCTCTCTCTC